AGAATAGAATAGAATAGAATAGAATAGAATAGAATATGGAATGTAGAATAGAATAGAATAGAGTAGAATAGAATAGAATAGAATAGAATAGAATAGAATAGAATAGAATAGAATAGAATAGAATATGGAATGTAGAATAGAATAGAATAGAATAGAATAGAATAGAATAGAAAATATACTATAGAACAGAGTAGAGTAGAGTAGAGCAGAATAGAGAATATACAGAATAGAATAGCAGAGTTGGAAAGGACCTTGGAGGTCTTCTAGTCCAACCCCCTGCCTAGGCAGGAAACCCTACACCACTTCAGACAAATGGTTATCCAACATCTTCTTAAAAACTTTCAGTGTTGGAGCATTTATAACTTCTGGAGGCAAGCGGTTCCACTGATTAATTGTTCTCACTGTCCGGAAATTTCTCCTTAGTTCTAGGTTGCTTCTCTCCTTGATTAGTTTCCACCCATTGCATATTTCAATATGTTGATGCTTAATTTAAAAAAAAAAAATCTCTTAATCCGCACTTGGAATTCTCACGCAAATATCCTTTCAAGTTTACTTACTCGGATGAGATTCATATTCTTTTGTGTCTTCGTCTTTTTCTTCCTTGGACTCATCTAATTCCTTATTATACTCCATCGCAGCCTGGTTTATTTGATCTTCACTATGTGCGTTCTGTTCATCCACCACTGTAACACCAAATGCTACTATTAATTTAAAAAAAAAAACAGCGAGAGATTATATAGAAGAAGGAATGATTCTATATCCCCTGCACTGGCTTGTGCAATGTATTTGATTTCTACTGGGAAAATGAAGGAGAAAATTGTACATTTCTTATGTTTCTGTGCTGCGATGATCAGATTCTCCCATTGATAACCCAACCACTGCATAATTCTAATAAAGTTCCTTACTTGGAAAGAAGTACCATTAAGTTGTTAACGTGTATGCAAAGATCCCTCCTTCTATTTATTTTTATTTTTCATTGTTTAATGAGCCCGTAATCCCTTGCGGGGAGTCGGGGCAACTGAATGGAGCTGAGTGTTTTACTGGCCGGATGCTTTTCCTGTCACCCATGCGGAGTTTTGTTTAGCAGATATTGCAAAAAAGAAGACCCATAAAAAGTACAGGGGAAAAACTCTATTTTCAACACAAAGGGGATAAGTTGACCAAACTATTGTTAAACTATGGTTAACCTCACTGCGTAGATTTCAGATGACACAGCAAGCTGTACTTACTATGTTAGGGAAGCAAACTTGCATTTGCAGATAGGCTGGAGAAGGCATCCAAGTTACAGAGAGAGAAATTAGCCTTGAACTTGTCCCAAAAGTGTATGTGTGTGTTTTTTTCAAAAGGCAACTGGACTTTCTTTGTTTTTCCTCGAAAACATTTCACTTCTCATCCGAGGAACTTCTTCAATTCTTCAGAAGTGCTGAAGCTTCTTCAGAATGGAAGAAGCTTCTTGAACGAGAAGCGAAATGTCTTCAAGGAAAAACAAGAGTTGCCTCTTGAAAAGGCACTTTGGGGACAACCATGACCTGGAGGACCGAGAATCTCCGTAGACTTTTAGGCCTGTCCTTCTACCAGTCAACAAGGGTTTTTAGCTTAAGTTTCACTTTTTAAAGTCACGTTAGCCCCATCAACAAACCACGATCCCAAGCGCGGCTAGACAACTAAGTTTCCTTCACCTTTCTCTGCTTGCTCAATGATCTGTCTCAGAGCTTTCTTCAAACTGTTGGCCCGTAGCATCAGCTGCTCTCGGGATTTGAACATCTGTTGGGTCGGAGCAGCTGTGTTGTTCTCGGTCAATGGTTCTTTGGCGTCCGACAAAGACTCCTCACTCGATGACTCGTCCGGTTCTTCCTCAGCGATGGGGGTCGTAGCCATGTGGGGACGGCTTGAACTAACCTGGGTTTCCGCATGGAGAGCCTGGAGCAGAAGACTCAACTTCTCGTTCAGTTCCGAGCACTAAAAAAGATTATAAAGGAATATATAAGAAGCTGTTGACCCAGTTCCACAGAGGAATTACTGAGTCTGTCATTTGTACTTCTATAACTGTCTGGTTTGGCACAGCAACTATTCTATTCTGTTTTCTATTCTATTCTATTTTCTATTATATATTCTATTCTATTCTATATTCTGTTCTATTCTATTCTAATCTATGTTCTATGTTCTATTTCTATTATATAATATATTCTGTTTTATTCTAGTCTATTATATATTCTGTACTATTCTAGTCTATTATATATTCTATTCTATTCTATTCTATTCTATTCTATTCTATTCTATTCTATATTCTATTTTATTTTCTACTGTATATTCTCTATTCTATTCTATAATATTCTATTTTCTGTTCTATTCTAGTCTATATTCTATTATATTATACTGTATATTATATATTCTATATTCTATTCTATAATATTCTATATTCTGTTCTATTCTATTCTATTTTTCATTCCAATATTCTCTTCTCTTCTCTTCTCTTCTCTTCTCTTCTCTTCTCTTCTCTTCTCTTCTCTTCTCTTCTCCTCTCCTCTCCTCTCTTCTCTTCTCTTCTCTTCTCTTCTGCTCCACTTCACTCCACTCCATTCCTACTCCTATTCTGCACTACTCTACTTCTACTCTGGTTCTGTTCTGTTTTTAAAATTTAAATTTAATTTAAAAAATAATTTTAAAAAAGGCAGACTATAATCTACCATTTCAGTGGCGAGAGATACAGGTAGTTCTCAACCTACGACCATAATGGAGCCGGCCTAGGTTGGCCATTAGTGGCAATGATCATCCTGTCAGCTTTAAAATTCAGCTGTCACATTTCATGGAAAGGGGGGGGGGGGGGGGAGGAGTTGAAAAGTTCAAGGTTATTCTGTATGTCGTATTAAGAAATTCCAGTTGCAGTTAATTGGTTCTCGTGATTTATGAAGTGTAGAAGTGGGAGGAGAGAAGGTGGATTCTGTGTAACGCGGGAAAATAATTTCACTTTGGGAAATTGCCTTTGACATGCCAGATCTGTTTCTAAATAAATCAATTGGAGAGAAAATGTCTCGGAGTGATTAATATCATGGATACTTTCTGGATGCCTTACACATCCATACAACCATTTTCCTGACAGTCGTTAAGCCCCTTTTAGGTTTAAAGCTAGCCATCTTTAACCATCTTTTCCCCTCGTGGCTTCCATAACTTTTTGTTTGTTTGTAAGCCTTCTGTGTGTCCATACAAAAGAAGCAACAATGCTAGGGAAACACAAAGATAAATATGAAACACTGAATAATTTCTTCAAACAAAACCATCTCAATTCTTACTTTAATAGCCATGGCGTCCGTTTCTGCATTTTCCTCTGGTCTTTCACAAGTCTTCCCCATTTTGGCCACAAATCCTTTCACGGTTTCACACAAGATCCTTTTTTCAGGGGAAAGAAATACCGGAACAAGAAGGGAAATGGATGAGATCACAGCATTAATTTTACATTAGGCGTTAATTTAGCTCAGCCACTTATCATTGAAAAAAAGAAGCCACGAAGATTGTAAGTTTTATGTTTTACAAATGAGATCACACGGACAAAATCTCTCCTTTCCTCACCTCCCTTTTTACTTATGTGATTTACAAATCTCAATCGTAAGTAACCTCTTGCTTTACGGATGCTTCAGAAATAAAAAAGGCCAACAGAAGGTTTCATACATCAAGAAAGCTGGAAAGAGGTTTTTTTTTTCAAATTGGAAAGCAATTTTACATGCTGTGGTTGAACTTACTTGGCAGACGATATAACAACGGAGTGTTGATCCGAATCAAGGATCTTTGTCAGATGTGTGGCAACTGAATCCTCATAGGCAGACATCTGAAAACAGGTTTTAAAAAGCTTTGGATCTTAAAATGTAGTTGCATAGTAAATATTTATTTTTCACCCAAACATATATCAATAAAAGAGATGATAGACAGATAAAAGATAGATAGATGATAGATAGATAGATAGATAGATAGATAGATAGATAGATAGATAAGAGAGAGAGAGATAGTAGATAGCTAGGTAAGTAGGTAGGTAGGTATATTGATTGATTGATTGATTGATTGATTGATTGATGATAGAAAGATAGTTGATAGATGAGAGATAGAGAGATAGAGAGATAGATGATAGATAGATGATGGAGATAGAGAGATGATAGAGAGATAGATAATAGAGATAGACATGGAGATTAGAGGGAGGAACAGACAGACAGACAGACAGATAGATAGACAAGAGAGAGAGTGAGGTGAGAGAGATGGCGGACATGACTTCATTTGATTGAAGCTACTATCTTGTGGTTGCAATACAAGCAATCTGCAATTTTTCAGTGGCATAGGACAGACCACAAATAAATTAAAAATAGTGGCAAGTTGTATGGATTTGTTCCAGTATGAAAAAAGTTTGAATGGCATCTTATAATAAAGCATTATATAGACCAGAATCTATTTCATTTCCTACCAGAAAGGATTGATTGATTAATTGATTGATTGATTGACTGATTAATTGATTAGTGTACTGAGGATGTTACCTAGTTTGGGTAATGAAACGTCTTCAAGAAAACCAACAAGCTCAGAGAGCACCAAGGACCTCACAGTTCAAACGTGAGCTACTAATATTCTCCTTTATTGGTCTCCCATTATTAGCTGTGGGAGAAAAAAAACACCTTCTCTTCCTTCAGCATTTTAGAAATTAAACACCCGCTGAAAATGCTTGCAATTATTCTTATTACAATATCAATAGATTTTTCCAACTAAATCATATGACTTCAATTAAGTGGAACAGTGTAAGTTTCCTAGATTTTGATAATGGTATTATTGCAAGTTCTTCTCTTAAGCATTTGCTGAAATCCTATACATAATTAACCAGGAGTGAGTATTCTGAATTCAGAAGCACTTTTATCTAAGTGTCTGTCCCTGTGTGCTTGTGTGTATTTGTGATTGTGTGTCTGTGTGTGTAGTGAGAGAAGGGAAGACGAGAGCCAGAGTATCACTCAGTTTTGAATGCATCCAAATTAGATCTTGCATAATTTAATGACATCCAAAAATTTAGATTTACCCAACAATTGTATTATCATATATGGTGGACTTTTAGGAAAGCCCAGGAATTCTGGCATAAAATTCAAAGTTGGTTAGAAGAAATTGGTGAGATTAAACTTGAGTATAAACCAGAATTTTTTTGCTGCGAATTAATTCAGAGAGATACAGTAAGGAACAAATGTATCTAATATATGTATATATATAATATATATATATCTAATATATGATCATGGCAGCAAGATTAGCTTATGCTCAAAAGTGGAAAGTTAAGGAAATTCCCGATGAAACTGAGATAATTAAAAAGATATGGACATGCACCGAAATAGATAAAGTAACATTGGAAATAAAAAAATAAGGACGAGACTGAATACTATAAAGTATGGGACAAATTTTACCAATGGTGGGGAAAAAGGAAGGACTTAAAATTAAAATTAAGATAAGGATGTTAAGGTAGTAGATTAAAAATATGGAAAATTGCTGTAATGTATAAATGCATATATTATGTATGTAAATTTGTATTATATGCGATCCACAATAGATATGTATGACAAATAGGTTTGTCAGGACAATTTTATCACATCCATTGTTTTTAATGTTTTCGTTCTATAAAATTTTTAAAAAATTTAAAAAAAATTAGATTTACCCAACCATCAGATTAGATCTTATATCATTTAATTACAACCCCAAAATTTCAATTTTACCTGACAATCTTCAGCGTCTTCTTCAGGAGTAACTGGAAGGATGCATTGCTTGGATGGCAATCTCAATTCATATGACATGATGCTCCATCTGAAAAAAAAATTCCAAAATTCAAATTCACAAGCAGAATGATTCACCGAGAAGGAACGTTGATTGTGGAAAGATTTGACAATGCAAACCATATAAGCCAGGAAGGCCTTTCCTTACCTGTCTAGCATTTTGGTGCTAGCTCGTTCTAATTTTTCTAAAATTTGAGGCAGTTGTGTGTCATCGTCACAGGACCCTCCCCAACCGAGGACTCGGGCGAGGTCATTTCCCGTCCCAAGCGGTAACACTCCCAAATGACACTGGAATGAAGATTAGAATATAGATTTGTGATTTGTTTTCTGAGAGCCAGTTTGGTCTACTGGTTTAGGCACCAGATTAGAAAGCAGCAGATCAGGAGTTCAAGTCTTGGCTTAGCTATCAAAGCCAGCTGGGTGACTTTGTACCAATCACCAGGAGACTGGGCATTCTAGTCCCACCTTAGATGTGAAATCCAGCTGGGTGACTTCGAGCTAGTCACTCTCTCTAAGCCCAATCCACTTCACATGATTGTTGTTGTCTTTGGGTCAATCACCAGGAGACTGGGAGTTTCTAGTCCCACCTTAGCCATGAAAGC